TTTTGCCACTGAGATAAAATACCTGATATACACAGCTTAAAGGAGATAAAGGTTATTTTAGTTCATGGTTCCAGAGGATTCAGTCCACAGTAAGCTGGCATCCAGACAGAAGTGGCATGGTGGAAGTAAGCTGCTCACCTCATGGTTGCTAGGTGAAAAGGAAAGAGTTGGAGAGCAGAGGGACTAGGGACAGGATGTACCCTTCAAAGTCACACACCTTGCGACCTACTTCCTATAGCTAAGCCTCATTTCCTAGTAAGCCCATTCAGCTATCCACTGATAAGGTCAGCACTTTAATGATTCAATTGTAACAAAGACCTAGAGGTTACACCTGCAGATGCCTAATGGATAACTAAAAGCAAGACGAAACTTGGCACCTTTGTCTTCAATTTTTTTGTGGTTCTTTCTTTTATTACTTTAAAGCTTTGGGTCAGATCCCTGATCAGCTCTGCAAACAGACATATGAATCACTTTAATACTTGTAATATAAAGTTTTTATGACCTTAAATTTGCCTAACCTATCTTATTCCCTTTCAAGACTAAGGGCATCAAGATACAGGGAATGAAATTAATTTTGAGGACTTGAAGGGAAATCCAATTACTGGCTTACATAATGTCCAGTTTCAGACCCTCTAGAATGATACCTTTGACTTGTCAGTAGTTGTCTTAAACTGGTAATCCTGTCAGACTACAGGAAAAGCAGAGCCTCAGGGACCACACCCTGATGAGGTTACCTCCCCATTGGAAGCAATTACTCCATGATGGGAACAGAGGCTGCCCCCTACCCCAAATCTATGAATCCAAGACTGAGATAATGATCACCCCAACTCTGAAATACAACCAGCACCCCTAAAACTGGTCCCCCTTCTTTGTTAATAGGCCAGTCTGATCCTTTTTACTGAACCAGGGTCTCCTTCTACTTCCTAAATTGAAGCTCCTTGAGGTGCTTTCCTATTTACTCTCACTTTCCTTTGTTAAGGAGACAACTCAGTCTTTGTCAGAGCTATGCCCCTCTTCAGCTTTCAACTCCTCAAGCTAAAGTTCCTTATCATGTTTCCTTTCACCTTCTTCTTCTTCTTCTTCTTCTTCTTCTTCTTCTTCTTCTTCTTCTTCTTCTTCTTCTTCTTCTTCTTCTTCTTCTTCTTCTTCTTCT